GATAGACCACCCCACACCATTGCAGCCAGACAGACATCGCTTGCAAACTTCTATGACGGAAGGCGAAGGCGAAGAGTCACACTATGACGGCTACAGCGACTTCGAAACTGAGGGTGAGTCTGTGGGGATCCCAGTCCCCAAATCATCGCCTTGGTGGGCTTGTTGGATTTTGGTTTGGAGTGGAGGATTCATGGACTTTCTGTTTGGAGCCTATGAGGTTTGGGGTTCAGCCAGGGATATCTATATCTGAATGTCATTTCTTGTCATCGCCGTGTACAGTATCTACCCAAGAGCGCACAAGCCCCAACCCCATTCCCCAACGCCCTGAAGCCCTATCTACCTACTACCGACCTACCTACCTACCTACCTATCTATCTGTCTGTCTATCTGTCTATCTATATAGATATAAATCAAAAGACACACGCACGCACAGACACACAGACACACAGACACACAGACACACACATACGTGTATATATATATATGTGTGTGTGTTATTTATTTGTATGTATGTATGTATGTATGTATGGATGGATGGATGGATGTATGTATGTATACACACATATCTATATATCAAAGCCTTCAAGGCATCGCCCAACCGCAGCGACTTCCGAGACGAGTCCGCCCGAGAACCGGGGTTGGACGGATTTGTGCCAGCCTCGGGTACCGCGAAACTCCAACATGTCATGCTCAATCTCATGCTCATGGATCCTTCTGCGCGTGAAAAAGGGTGTTCTGGGCTTAAGGGTTTAAGTTTAGGGCGTTTAGAAGGGGTATAGTTGTAGATCATGTCTGTGTGTTGCTCATAAGCGTGATTGTGGTTAAGTACTCCTTGTTCCTTTTGGGGTGCGTCGGGCGTGCGTGGGGCAGGGTGGTCGAATACTGCTTTAAAGTCCCGCCATGCTAACAGCAACAGCAACCTGCTTGTTTTACATCAAGGTCTAGACCCGGCTCAATCCGGCTTCAGGCATTTTGGGACAGTCCTTTTATAAGGACACAGTATACTACACCCACACTGGCCATCTGTCTGTGGCTCAACGCGAGCTCTTCAGCGATCGAGGCTGTTGATGGCGATGACGAGTATGACGACGAGGCTTGTTTGAGGGGCTAGGTTTTCAGGAGGGTGTAGGGTTTAGGGTTTAGGGGGGAAAGAGTCAGCCGTCCCGGCGTGACGTTGCAAGCAAGTTACGATAGGTTGAGGGGCTCTTACAGTCTTAGGGATTGTAGGCTGCTTTGGGGGGTTGAGTTCCCGTTGCTTGCCTGTCTTGCTTTGGCAACTCTTGTTGTCTTGGGCGTTCTCACGACACCTGTTTTGTCCATCATTTGTAACGGGCAGTATTGTGTAGTACGTTTTTTGGTTCGTCTTGCAAAGGTTTTTTTGGCGTAAACGTTAATCAACGGACGGAGATCTCGCCCTCAGTTTCTGTTGCTTTCGGTGCAGGAGTATGACGACGACGGGCCGGGGGGTGATCCGTCCGAGGTCGGCATGCCTGCCATGAGGGGCTCTATCATGGGGCTTGATGAGGGTTTGTGCTGAGGTTCAATTGGAGATTCAGACAATGAGAGCCCCTACTTTGTTACGCCTCTTTGGGAGGAACCCCTGGAAAAGGTTCCCCCAGCTTCAAGCAGCCCGAAAGCATCCAGAAAGGCATGGGTTACAAGAGACTGTGGAGTCCATGGTCGCCCCTGTTTTCAGACCCTGCACTTGCGAAGGCCTCGAACTCTAAACCCCAAGTCCGAAGCCCCAAAAGCTGGAAATCCTCAGACCCCAAACCCAAATCGTCGAAACCGTGGACCCCGAAACCCGACATTCTGGCAGGACAGAAGTGAGCAAACCGTTAGAAGATCGAAGCCACAGGCAACAGGAACCGACGGCTCAGGTGGATCGCCACTAAACCTTCCTAGGGTTTAGGGCTTAGGTTTCGGGTTAAACCTTTTCATGTCACTGTCTGGGGTTGCATGGGGTCTAGGGGTTCGAGTCCTGACTTCCAGGAGGGCAGATACAGTACATCAAACCACAGTCCCGGAGCTGTTGGGGCGTCTGATCCTTCGGAGTTCGGAATGCACATCAAGCTGGATATCTGCATTGACGAGCTATGCGCCCGAGCTACGTCAGTGAAGGTGATGATTTCTTTGGAGATTAATTATGACAGCAAGTGGCGCCTACGATAAGGAGGCAGCGGATGAGGGACCCACAAGCTTAAACCCGAAACCCTAAAGGCCAGCCACTAAAGCCCGAAGCCCTCAACCTAAAAGGCCAAAGATGATGACCAAAGCCTTGGCAGCAACTCCGAAAGGCAAGAAGGGCCCTGGACTCAGGCCCTAGGGGCCCGATAGTCCTTAAACTTATTAGAACTTACAGGAAATGAGTCCCCAAGCTCTGAACCTTCAGCTTATGGCTTTGTGCAGGGGACGGCGGGCTCCTCCCTGGCTGTCGGCGCCGCGGGTGTCGTCGGGGCTGCGGGCGTCGTAGTCGCGACAGAGGCACGAGCATCTTTAGGGTCTGAAAGTACCGGGGCCTGAGTCATCGCCAAGACTATTCCTTTGAGTTACAAGTATAATTCTAGTATAGTATAGCAGACGCCAACACCTTATTCTAATTAGTGAGTGCTTTAAGGTTTTGCACGAGGGCTGTTGGAGCAACGGGCTGGCTACGACGCGCAGATCAGGTGGGTATGATTCAAGGACTCTGTTCGTCGTCTGGCAGTCATATTGACAGGTCATTTTTGAACGAGTGGCATATGCAACAGAACACACGCGTGCCACAATGGAGACGAAGAGCAGCGCACAAGATCATTCATGAACCGAATACAGCAAACATCGCCAACAAAAACACAGGGCGGATAAGGGAAACGTATATGTAGTCATGTGCGAGGGTATAGGGTTTAGGGTAGAGATCGAGCGGATCTGGCTAGTCCTCAAGCCCAGTAGCAAAACAGGGTTTAATACTGCTGATAGTTGCTACTAAGTACTGTGCTCGGAATGACGAAAAGTTCAACAAAGTTAACACGGCAGCCTTAAGACAGCCCAACATGCCGTTCTGTTGCCTTCTCGTCCAGGAACCCGTGGATGTCCCGTGCTCAGATGTCACAGAAGCGCGCTTCTTTTCCTACGTATAGATACGAAGAGCACGGCAACACCCTGGGCCTACCCTCAACCGTACGCCTGGAAGGGCAGACACTCGTACTGCAAGCCAGCACTGATCCTGCAGTCGCCCGATGCCCTATTCAAGCACTCCGCCTTAGAGATTATTCCAGACCCCGGCTGATAGCCTCTTCTATATTGTCAGGTTTTAATCTCGCTACCTAAGAATATTCATGCCTTTCGCTGCATGTACATTGCATGCGACTTTGACCTGAGTTGGAAGTTCGCATGTCGGCCTTGCAATTATGTGCTAGCTCTTCGTGGCCCTGAGCTGCGGAGAAGACACTATCTAGCAACTAGTACTTGATTTAGCTTTCGTTAGTCGGCCTGCACGATAAGCCCCCGGGGTGGCTTACTGGCGGATCCCTGACATCAACGAATAGCCCCCGCAAGCACCTCATGGCTTACATCGGACCGCATGGGTGAAGGACCCCCGGTAGCCCAATGATGCCCGCAACCCTTGTCGCCTACTATACGGGTAACCCTGGGCTCTTCGGGGATGATTGGTGCCAGCTTTTTGGGCATCATCACTCTAGGGGTTCCGCATTCCAATGATTGTATAGCAAACCCCCAAAAAAGCTTTATACTATTCAGTAAGCCCCTATAATCCGCCGAAGAAAGCCGAAATCTCAATCCTAAACCCTTAACCCTAAACCCTGTCGGAAACAGATGCAAAGCAGCTGAAGCCTCCGAGCCTAGGTGAAAACCTATGCCTGGGGCCTGAGGGGCATTTCGATTTCTGGGAGTCCATATTAAGGGTTTAGGGTTTATGGTTGCTGTAGTAGGCTTTCGTGTTATGGCACAGGGGATGACATCGATGCTCTTTGGCTTTAAGCGGTGCTCCGGTTCCGAGATTATTTTGAGGTCTCGTTCACCGGGCCTGCTTTCTCATAAGTCCCTTCCGTGCGGAACCGGGAGGAGTAGAAGAATTCCTTCTCAGCCCAATCGCTTGCGCACTGCCTACCAAAACTAGATAAGAAGGTTATACATTGGGACACTCTCTCCGGATTGTTTTTAAAAAACCGCGCTTGTGCTTTCGTTGGGTATGCGGCCCCTCGTTAACAAGACTTGAAATGATGGGCGTTCCTTCGAAGCCGGGCACGGTACAGCAAAGCATTACTCGTACACTTCGAGAGTTAGCTCGAAATACACCCTACTCCCGAAAGACCTAAACCCTAAACCCTATAGGATGTATACTCCCGCAATCCCGAAACCCTAAACCCTAAACCTAAACCCTATAGGGTGCATACTCCCGAAAGCCCTCAAGCTCCATGACGCACATCTGAGCCTTCGAGGCGCCCGACACCCAAACTCGAGAAATCCTGCACCCTCAACCTCAACTGAAATGTGATAGCGCTATAGCATTCTGAGTGTAACGTTGTACTTTTATGGTGTTTCACTTGCAACAACAGTGACACAGCCGAAGCCTCGAGTGGAGATCCGGGATTTGGAGCTTTCGGTTTGACGTCGCGTTTGGAGGTTTAGCCACGAGTTGCAAGAAGGCGCAATCGGCTTAGGTGGTGTGTGTGTGTGTGGTTTAGGAGTTTAGGCATTTGAGCCGCGACAGGTTGGAATCATAGGCCTCCTGTAGACTCCCTAAGAAGGAACAGGAGTTTGGGTGCTGCATCTTGCAGATGTTCCATCCAAGCCCGCCATGAGTGCCGCCTCCACATGCGATAGTTCTTCCTGTCCTTGCCAAAGTAAGGCATCGGTTGAGTAGATTTGAGTATCAGATTATCAGATCTCACGGCGAATAATTTAATGTCATAGTGTATAATGCACAGACCCCGCACTCGCGAGATGCCTGTCATATAGTCCATATCATACACATGGCACACGGTTCGCAGAAGTTGAGGATGCCCAGCTGTTCGAAGTTTACCTGGTTTGCGCTCCTGTCCGTTCAGACTGGACTGGGGGCTCTTTGCCCGGACATCTGCACGGCCACCATCGACAACTCTCCCTGGCCATGCAGGTTTGTGAACAACAGCTGCGTGATTCCGGTCAGCCCGAACGCAGCTCGCGAAAGTGCGGAAGACATCAACGTGGCAGTCACCGGGCCCTACAGTGGAGCACTGGGGGACCTCATGACTATGGTGGAGCCAGCATTGGAGCTTGCGGCCCAAGATATTGAGATGAGCAACTTTCTGCCGGGCTTTCGCCTTAAAGTCCATCTCGTAGATTCCAAGTGCACCAAGCCGGACGCCACTTCTGCAGTGTTCGCGTCATGCTCCACAGGACTCTCAAGAAATCAAGCACTCCTGGTAGTTCCTGATGATGGGGACGACCGAATCTAAGCCCTCCAAGCCCTCATGCAGCCTCAGGACCCAAGAAGCACATCATCATGGGGGATTCTTGCAGCGCTGCATGCGAGTCCGTCAACGATGCCGCCCGCTTCTTTAACGTGTTGCAGGTGGCACCGGGATGTGTTTCCACGACGCTCAGTGCCTGGACTCAAACTGCAGCTGGCTTGTGCCTTATACTCATCCATAGAGACTACCAACATCCCGAAACGATAAGCTCGTTGATATCGACATGACCCGACTCAGGTGATGCAAACCGATATCCTTACTTCACTCGCATGGCACCCTCAACACGGTTCAATGTTGTGGCCATCTATGAGTTCATGAAACTCCTTGGATTTAAGAGAGTCGGCGTGCTATATGGCTACAGAAGCATCAACAACATGATCAAGGACATGTTCCTGGAAATGGTCGAGGCAGATCTTAAGACAGGTGGTTATTCTTGGACCATCCTCCTGACGAGGCAAATCAGCAATCGTGCAGATGCAGGCAGTGCTGTGGACTTCATGAAAATGCGAGATTCTCGGGTCAACTTCATAGCACTGCGCCCTGGATGGATTCATCATGCTGCGTTTATCAGGGAAATTTTCTCTGCCTGCATGCCCATCTGCACATGGTGATGAATTCCGAAATCCCAAGCCTCCAAACCTTGAGTGAATCTGAGTGTCAGAGACCAGACAAGGTACGAGGACTTGGGCGCTGTGCTGCTTTGCGAGGCCTTTTCGCACGGCGTCGTGCCGCCAGATGTCAGCTGGATGGTCGCTTCCGGGTGGTGGAACACGAATTACATTACGTTGCTTGCACAGTGCCTCGACGGTTTCATAAGCCCAAGCGGAACTCGAACACATAGCATACTTGTTCATGAAGGAACATGCCTCGAGTGCTTCAGTTTGACATCTCAAAACCTATGGGAGCTATCATGCTGAGACCCGCGCTGTCACAACAAGAAGCGTAATTCAACTCCTGGTCCTAGTAATTCAACTCCTGGTCCTAGTATTCAACTCCTGGTCCTAGTTAGGAACCACTGGGACAACTGGTTGACCTACGCCCTGAACTGCCAAACCCTTACCGTCAGCTCTGTAGGTTGGCAAAGGCTCTTGGAGCAAGGGATCGCCGTGAGCTAGCCGACTAGGGGCCACATGTGCGTCTCCCCTGCGAACCGTGGACCAACCTCGCCTGTATTGCCCGAACGTCTTCCGAAACCCAAGTTGTCCCCCTGTTGAAGGGGCGTTTGCCCTAAGGCTCCATGTATCTTTTATAGCATATACTTGTAGGCATTAAAGTACTTAGGTAGGAACCATTTAAGGCTTGTAAGTACACGCTACATAATGTACATGAGAGCCCTAGGATTGTCAGGAGGGTCACCGGGCCCGGTTGCATGTTGGATGCGGGAGGTTGTTTGTCTCGAACTTGGCCCGAAGCATCCTTGACTGGGTTTAGAGTTTAGGGTTTAATTGCATTGGGTTTAGGATCTAGGGTTTTGTAAATGCGTTGTACGGACAGTTTTTTTTTGTCGGAGCGTTTTGAGCTAGGTTTTTGTCATGTCCTCCGTAGCTGATGGAGTTTCATGTTCCACCAAGGACTTCCGACTGCTCATGCAGCAGCCAGGAGCCAGATAACGGTCTTTAGCATTGTTTTATGATGATTATTATTATTACCACTATCATTGCTACGCTTATTATTAGCATTACCACTCCAACTGTCATTATAATATAATAATATATGGTTATCATCATGAAGGGAATTTCGAAGCCTGTAACGCCACCTTGCTGTAGTTTCTTGTGCATTGACAAGTTCGGATGAAACTAGGCCTGTTGAAGTACTCAGTTTACCTCCGAAGGGCGCCGGGCAGGTCCCAACCTTCGATGTCCCAACTTAGCCCACCAAGAGGTGTGGTTGGATCAGAGTTGGCTTAGGAGGTTATGCTGAATCCAAAAATTCTTTCAGGTCCCCTACCCCATCCTTCCCTTAGGGTTTAGTGGGCCGGGCGAGCTCCGATCAAGCCTGTGTAAAAAAGGGCGGAATATCCCTAAGCTCCGGCGGAGGTCTCGAAACCTAGGCCTCAAGCTGCAACCATTGAAACCTTCACACACAAAGTGCAAGCACAGTCTTGCAAACCCTCGACTTAACCCTAAGGGACCCTTAGCCCTAAACCCAGCACTTTTACCCTCAAGCCTCTTCCTAAATCTAAAGCGATGCTTCGAACCACAAGTCCTGGCTTCAGCCGGCAGAATGACGCAAGGCCCCAACCCGAAACCCTAAGTCCTGAACCCTAGACTTCTAGACCTCACCATATTTTAGGGTTTAGGCTTTAGGGTTTCTAGGGCTTCGGGTTTAGGGTTTAGGGTTCTATAGATCCTGGCAGCCCCACCACCTCATTAACAAAAGGACAAATCCTGAACCCAATCGCCCCCGAAGCCGAAGCCCGAAGAACCTGCATGTGTATCACGGATCCTGTGAATCGAGAAACCTCACCTGGCTGGACCGAATTTTCAGAACCCTAAACCCTAACCCCTAATACTAAACCCTAAACCCAAAGAAGCAGGAGCTACATGAAGTTTCCTTTGGCCTTGTGGCTGCCGACCGAGGGCCGATGCTAAGCACGAAGGACCTCGTGAAGTTCAGCTCCTTGGGGCGTACCCATAGGCCCCTAAGTAGTTCCTTTTTAGGATTACCTTATAAGACTCCTAAATAGAAACCATAACAAGGAACTACTTAGGGGCCTATGGGTAGGGATGTGAGGATTCCATGGTGACCAGATGCAAAGAAAAACGATGAACAGGTGTAGGTGTTTTCTCCGAAAAGTGTGGTAATTCTCCGTGGTTCACGCATTGCGGGCAACAGGGCTTGTTCGCCACTAGTACTGCTAGTCACTACTACAACGATGACTACAACTACAACCACAACTACAACAGCAACAACGACAACAACAACTGCTGCTGCTACCACTACTACCACTACTATGGTTGATGGAAGTCTTGCACCGCCCAGACGTTGACACATGATAGCGCCGATCACCAGAACCCCCGGACACCCTGTTTAATATTGATGATAGTGTGCCATGTGGCCGGTGCAAGAATTTTTGATGTGAGTGGAACCCACGGCCCCTGCCAGGACTGGACATCACAACTACCACTACTACTTCGACTACTGCTGCTGCTACTGCTACTGCTACTGCTACTGCTACTGCTGCTGCTGCTGCTGCTACTACTACTACTACTACTACTACACTGCTACTATTGCTACTCCTGCTGCTGCTGCTGCTGCTGCTGCTGCTACCGCTAGCTATTAGCACAAGGACTGCGACCACGACGACCCCGACGACTACAAGGAATAACAACATTAATACCAACATATGTTCTAATCCGGACACTGATACTACTCCTGCCAATGCATCTCGTCGTGGTCTTCTTCACTTCTGCTGCTGCTGGTGCTAAGACCTGCCCCCACCGCCACCACCAGCAGCACCACCATCACTTCTGCACCCGCCGATAGCAGTAGTGGGAACAAAGAATGAGGGCGAGAGAGGCAGAGTGAGGTCCAGGAGAGGTGGGTGTCTTTAAGGTACCAAAACGATTCAACATGTCAGTCTGTTTCACATTGACAGGAACCTTCCAGACTTCTGTTCCCCCAGGATGTGACTCGGGAAACGAGTCGAGGTTCAGGGCAGGTGTTTCGCTCTTATTGGCTTAAACGCGCAGGACAAGCATGGCTTGTCTGGACGAGAGCTCTCGGACATCCACGAGAAGTACACTGCAAGTTGTCGGATGTTTGCCAATGGCAATGGCGCATGCAACCATCAGTGGGCCGGCTACTTTTACGACGGCCTCTGGCTCGTAGCTTCTATATTGCACGCCTACCTGGTGAATGAGAATCGCTCCATCAGTGATTTGGGCACAAACTACTCCAGGGAGGCTTTGTACAACCTTTCTCTGCATCAGGATTTCATAGGTGTGACGGGCAGGGTCCGGCAGTTCAATGGCGTCGAGCCCACGACAGATCCTGCATCCCATGGAGACAGGGAGGGTATCATCCTACTGCGCCAGGTCGCTGGCCCGGTGGAGGATGCATTTACCGTCCTTGCGCATCGTTCGGCTGCTGGTTTCCATTTCCTCAAAGATGTCCTGTGGAGTAAGCAAGATCTCAGCCAGAGCATACCGTGTGCTGCGGGATCCTGTGACCTCGCAGCAGGTTGGGTTCCGGCCGATCAGGACAGCCGTTGCGCAGGCGGGAAGGTTTGGAGCAACGAACTCGGATGTGTGGGTTGCCCTGCTGGAAGTTACAGCACTGCATCGCAAGCAAGCTGCTTCCCTTGCCCTCGTGGCAGCTTCAGCAATTCCAGTGGAACGGCCAGCTGCGAGCCATGTCATCCGGGCAGCTCTGGCATCATAGAGGGGCTGGTGCATTGCGTCGATTGTCCTCTCGGATACTTCATGAACGGCAGTGGTGCCGAGGAGTGCAGGAAATGTCCTCGCGACTCATATGCCGACAGCCGCGGGCTGTCGCTGTGCAAGCCATGCCCCGAGGGGAAAAGTATCGAGTTCGAAGGAGCCACAGAGCTTTCGATGTGCACTTGCAAAGGGTGGCTCTGGTTGGGACAATGTGTCTTGTGCCCATATGCCACGCGATTCGAAAAGGGCTCCTGTATCCAGTGCGCCATGGACGAAATCTGTGAGGATGGTCGAGTTGTAGGACATTTGCCTTCCAAGTGGGAGTGGGCACAGAGCATAGAGCATGCTGGGCATCTGCCCCAGCTGTCACAGCGCTTGGCGAAGCAGCTCCTGCTGGTGGTGTCAGGTGTGAGATCCGAGGAGAACGAAGCTTCCCTGACACGGGACATGGCAAGCTTTGACTGGATCTTGCAGGTGCGGATGCTCATGAATCCGTCTCCCAACTTCTTGACCCCTTGCAACCGACGGACAGGAAAGTCCTCCCCCGAATCAATCCAAGGCAAAAACTAGGGGATTTCGATCATGACAGGCCCTCATCTCGGGCAACAGCACGCTGGGAATCGTTGCGACTCCGAACGAGGAAGTAGCTGATGCTCTGTCGGCGCTCCTCGACTCATGTTTGGGGGCAGAGCGTGTTCCTGTGTGCATAGGGACTTTAGACCATCATCTGCTGCTGCTGCTGCTGCTGCACAAAAGATAATCTGCAACACAAACATGGACACAGTCTTCGCTGATGACGACTGCAGAAAGAGGAGCAGTTGAGTGAACAGAAAAGGCAACAGTCAATACGTTTGCAGAAGAAGCAACAATTTTAACAGCACTGCTAATGCCATCACCGACAGCAATGAATGACAGCAATAACAAACACAGCAGCAGTAGCAGCAGCAGCAGCAGCCGACGACGCTTGCAGTTGGCACTGCCACTGCTGGGGGACGACACCGTCGTCGTCGACGACGACGAAGATGACGGAGGCAACAACATCGGTGGTCATGGTCGTCGTCATTACGATCATCATTATATTATTTTTCAGTGTTTCAGTCAGTATGCTTGACAGCAGCACCCTCTTGCGGTACAGAGCACACTCACGATCGAGCACTGACAGCTTAATTACCGGTCTCAGCATGAAGAAGGCCGCTCGAACCCTCATGCATCCTCGCCTCCAAACTCGGCAAAAGGACTGCCGCCATGTGGGCAAGCTTCAGTGAGCTCTTGGGCAGAAGCCCAACCGACACGGTCATGCACGAGGTTTTTGATCAGTGCCTCAGCTAGTTTTGGAGGATTTCAGGCTTGGGGCTGCAGGAGACGAGGCAAGACATGTAGGACTGGCGAAGCCGGACCATGTGTAAGATGTTGTCATGCTTGCGTGCGTGCAGACCACCCAGGAACATGCTGCTGCTTGACGCTGTGCAAAATGTCCTCCATTCTTTGCTCGAAGCTGCAAGGGCTGGAGGCTATTCGGGAAGCCTTGTGGCAGAAATCGCAGAGTCTCAGATGATGCTTGTCGAAAAAATCTGCAAGGAGAGCTTGTTTGTCGCAGCAGATTTTCGGGTGGACAGGGCTCTGCAGAGGCTTGCAGAGGCCAAGGAGCGTTACGAGGCAGCCCATGAGGCCTTGGTGTTGGGAGTAGAGGCTGCAAACATCCCGAAGTTGACGAGCTTGTGCACCATGCACCAGATGCGGGATGTGACCTACTACGCCAAGGAAGTGCATCGACGGGTCCGAGGGATCTTGAACGCCCGCACCTCGGAGGAGACTCTTCGGCTGGCACAGGGGTTCCGAAACGACATGTCGGTGGTCGTGGACCCTCTCTCCCAGGCCATGTCGTCGGCCGTGCATCTCTTCGTGCAGGGTGATGGCACCTGCGACCCGCTGGCAACAACTACGCAGGAGCAATGGATGCATTTGGCGCGTGGGCTAGCCGAACAGCGGATGGCAAGTCAGGGTGTCTTCCGATACTTCATGCAGGTTGGCTCCCAGATCTAGACCCCTCTGCCCCAACCTGGTATGGTATGGCACAAAGCATCCTATCCAGCAGAACGCAAGCCTTCAGGTAAACCCCCTGAGCACACAGGTGGTCCATGGAATCGACGTGGCTTCCAGCAAGGTCGACCTGGCGGTGCAGCTCGCGAAGAACAACAACCAACTCCTTGGGCTAGTTCAAGGGAGCAGGGAGGAAGACATTCCTGCTCCTCCGACGCAGGAGTTGCTATCCCAGCTTTTGAAACTTTATGTTGCCTGGCAATATATGAACAAGGTGCTGTCAGATGCAGTTCATCAAGATGAGATTGCCGAAGTTGACATCACAGAGGTCGAAGTCTACAACCAAGAGTTCCTCAGGGATACAGACGTTGTCATGGAGCTGCTAGCCGCGGTACACCACTGCCCAACTCTTGGCATCCTGAACATCACCAACCGTCAGGCCACAGCCTTCGACATGCTCTTCACTCAGACCGCTCTCATCAGCTATGGCCATGCAGGCGACAACTTAGACGAGCTGAATCACACCCGCGCGGCCTTCCATGTGGGGTGCGAGGTTTTGCTGCAAGGAGCGACTGCCGAGGAGGCCGGAACAGATTTGCGGCCAGTGGAGGATGTGTGCATTGTCAGGGCCATGGCTTCAGTCGCCGGCTCCTTTCACCTTTTGGAGCAGGAATCCTTGGCGGTCGTTGGTGGAGCTGGCTCTGAAGGCCTTCGGAGGATGATGGCGCTAAGCACAGAAGGCATTTCCCACATGGCATTAGCCTCGGACTTTCTCTTGAAGTACTACGCGAACCAGTCCAGCGTGACTTGCCAAGACCCGCTTCTCTCGACCACAGAATGGCTGCAGCTGATCGAGCACATCTCTTTGCTGGCGGGATTGGGCGAAGACGCCTCTTCTGCTTACATGTTGACGGATGGCAGCGAAAGCAATAATCAGGAAGCCGTGGATTCAAAGATCCAGGAGATGGCCAGCGCACTCCGCGATATGAAGTTTGGTGCTGCAGACCCTCCCCTCCCACCACCTCCAACCCAAGCCTTGTTCGACAAGAGCACCAACGGCCTTCACAACGCCCTAGAGTCATTCAGGATGGCTTTAGTGGGAGTTGACCGAAGTGCAGTTCTTGCTTCATGTGACGACTTCTTGTCACAAGTGCACCGGATGGAAGCAGACTATGTTCAAGCAGCACGCGCCACACACCCAAGGTGGCCAGGGTCTCGTGTTCGTGTGGCCAGCTGGCAGACCGTGCTTGCCAAGAAAATCTTCAAGGAATCCTTGCTTCCGACAAATCTTAAGAGGCCAGGTGTCTTGGCTGCCACTGTCACAGAGTTCGACACAGCCCACCAGCGATTGCGGCATGGTGGTGGAGGTCTTTCAGGCATTAGCAATGAGCGGCAGGACCTCTACCAGCAGTGGCAGAAAGTCGATGACTTGTGGTCCGACCTGAAGCAGCATGTTACTGGCCAGACTAGCAGCGCAGAAACAATGAGAGCCACGCTGCAACAGCTGGAGCAGGAGTTGCATATCCTGGTGTCACTTTGTGGTGTGGTGGATCCCCCGGCAACAGAGAAAGGCACAGGCCTAGTTGTGGCTATTTTCGCGGTGGTAAGCAGCATCCTGGCATTTTGTGCTTGTTGTGGCCCGCTCTTAGAGTACAGCCGCCAAAGGCGAGCAAGGAGGAAGCAACAGGAACATACCCATGCCAAAGTAGGAATTCAATCTGGCTTTCCGGACTCTCAGGATAAGCCGCGAAATGATATCACCGGCATTGTCTAGCCTATAATAATCATCTCATCCCCAGTGAAGTCGTGCACGCAAGCCGCCAGAAAACTGGCTGGCCTTCGCAACTCTGCAGATTTTGCCAATGTCTGGGACCCCGGTGTTTCGGTTCTCCAGGTGACCACGGAAATGGCCCTAGAGCCCCAGAGATGGACCATGGGTAGGTGACGTCCTAAACTTTGAAGGCCTTCTCTGTCAACGGTCCCGGGTCTTTCCGGACACGGATGAGCACAAAATCTTATTCTCGAGTGCCTAGATTGAATGTCACTTTGTGAGAAATTTCTGGCTTCAGACAGCATGTAGAATCTGAGCCTGAGCTAGATACCTAAGGGATTCCCCAGTACTAGGTCGGGGCAGCTTTCCGCAGAGACGGTCTCATGCGACGCAGTCCTTGCAACAAGCTCCACTTTCCGGGCTTTCGCTGTGCTGGCTTTGTACTGGGTCCAGGGTTTAGCTTGATATCACGTTTTCAATGAAGTTAAGGGTTCCACCGTTGGAGGCACCATACTTTTCCCAAACCGATGCTCGCTTGTTGCTGGAACGCTTTGCCAATTTGCTTCGTGCGGCTGCATGGGCCCAGCGTGGTGCAGGAGCTGGTTGTCCAGCTGCAGGTGCTGTTTGGCTCCAAGTGCCGGCGCCCTGCTGAAAAGTTCCGGCCAGGCGACGTTCCCGCAGCACGTTTCATAATTCGGTTCCAACCCACAGCGGCAAGCATGCCGCTTGTTTGAAGCTGCATATATGGGGAGTTCTCCAAGTTAGGGTCCCTTTTTAGGTCTCCAATATAGTACGACACCTTGTAAAAAGGACCCCCCAAATGGAACCCTAATTTAGAAAACTACCCCATGTGACCCAGGGGAGTTTGAGAGTGGTTTTTGTGGAAGCCATCTTCGGGCAGCCCCAAAACCTCGACTCCCCTCTCTCCTGGTATATGCTTTCGGGACACCATCTTGCAAGAGAGGTCCCGGGCACATCCCTGCAGATTCTGCCTCCAGGCGGCCAGAACTGCCCAAAAAGCTAGGAGGGACCAGGACCCTCCTTGTACCCTCAAATAGGGGCAAAAGGGCCCAAATAGTGGGTAGATAGGCTCTTATTGAGGGTCGATGGAGGGTCTAGGGACATGCTGGAATTGTCCTTGCGTGTTGCAGCGGAGCGTCAGACTTCTGTTTGCTACCAGAAACTAGAGTTTAAATTAGGGTTTAAGAATTGTTGGCTCAATACGGGTGGAAAGTTCAACTCTTGGTGGAAACTTCGTGAACAGCGAAATGGCTTCGAGATTCGCGCAGGATGACTCTGGAATGCAGTCCGCGTCTTGTCTTTCCTCAACAGTGGAGGCTATGCCATGCCGAAGGTGCATCTCTCTTGCTTCCTCCTCGTGGAGTCGAAGTGGCCAAGAATGACGTGAAGTGACAGGAACTCTTTACAGTCAAAAACAGAAGCTGGGACAGGGCTTATCGAAGCTAATGCAGGTACTCTTCAGTCTACCCTGCTGACCAGACTTTTAGTTTTTATTGTTGGGTGCTGTTTCCTATGCTTACAAGAGGCAAGTTACGGTCCATGGTATGGTATGTTAAAATTGGGTTGCACGCTGAAGGTTTGTAATTGAGCGCTTCCCTTGGAGCAACTTAAAAAAGTTGGCGTTCATCTTTTTTTTCAGCGACGGTGTAATTAGCGGTAATTATAATATAGAGAGAGACTCTTCAGGCCGTTTATGTTGTGTGCCAATCCTGTGTGTGTGTGTGTTTTCCTTCGTGTCTGAGCTTAGGATAACGTAGGGTTGGGTTATCCATGGATATATATATATATACACACATACACATACATATACATGTACGTGTACATGTACATATACATATACACATACATGTACATATACATATACATATATATATATATATTATAAAGAAATATAAATATAAATATAAATATATATATATATAGATGAGATTACATGAGGTGCCTGGAAGCAGGGACCGGGACTGGATCCGGTCAGCCCTTCACCTTCCATGGGTCTATAAGTCGAGAGGGTCTTGAAGCGCTCGCGGAAGGGCAGGGCCCCTAGGTGCAACTGAACATAAATGGGTCTTGTGATTTTTTGGGGTTTCAACGGCGGTTGCTATGAGGCTATGAGGCCCAAAGAGCTTCGGTGGTCCAGGTATTGCCTGCTTCTGAAGTTAGGTCACAAGAAAAGCGAAGGTGTCTCTTTGTCTCAGCAGTCTTCTCCCCACTATTTGTGCACCACTGCTGGAGTTCTGTGTGCAGGCTTGAGCTGCGCATATAAGATGAGATGTGCTGCCCCGGAGGAGCATGCGAACATACAGGAATCCTAAGCTGAATTTCGGAAGGCCTCCGATCAATCGGTCAAACCCTGTCACAGGATCCCTGCCACTTTGTGCTTCTCGGAGCCCTGCTGTAAATCTGCCGGCTCTCGCGGACTCAACGCGCCGAGGTGCAACGCTTGAGCGAAAGAGCAGCGCAGGCTCGATGCGTAAGATGTGGTTTCGGAAATTAGGGTGTAGGGCACTTACATTCCGGCCTGCACGCTTCCTTGTTTGTGAAGTGCTACAACGTGCCCCCGAAAACAAATTCCATCTCCGAAGGCCGCTAAGTCACGGGATGTGAGCTCTTGGCTTCGTGATCTCCGGTGTCCGGGGGATGGCATTTCGACCGAAGCCCGAACCTGTCAGGGGCCATAGCCCCCTGCATAAATCCGAAGGTCATCCTTTCAAAACGAACTCGCTTGATATCTGGGCAGTTCTTGGCATCAATTTGGGATAGAGTGCCTTTAATTTTGCGAGTTTGTTAACTTCTCGGTTTGTTTGCTAGCAACCCGATGTGAACCAATGGTTGAAGTCAAGACTTTCGAGTCAGGGACCACATTCCAGCATGCTTATGCCGGTTCTGCTTGCCTGCTCCTTTGCATGCATCGTAGTAGCTGGTAACTCAGGGTTCTTCTCACTGCGTGTTATGTGTAGCTATGGAGCTCCATGTACGCACAATGTGCTTGAAACTGTTTCTTAAATATCTGACTGTTGCGGCAAGTGGCCGATGCGGCTGCGCTGCTACCATACTGATTTGGCGCTTATCCGGTGTTGCGACCGCAACTTTAACGGTAAGGTTTGGAGACATGATTCGACATATATAGTTACTTATAACACTTTGCTTCAACAAGTGTATCGCAAGTACCTGGGCTTGTGCTGCGCAGGCCGCTCGGGAGACAGACTCTACCACAGACGCCGCCGAGGAGGCGCCACTTCTGTCATTGCTCTGGGCGTTAGGATCCAAACTTTGGACACCTAGAAGGCTGTGCATGCTTCGTGTTGTTTGTCGGCACCCTGACCGCGACTGCAAACAAGCAATCCTGAACATGGATCGCCCGAGCTAAACACCTCTGAGGTGTTGCAACAGGCATCACTCCGCAACCAAACGGTTGTCGGTCGAGCGAGCAGCGAACGCTTCCGTTTCTGTCTTCGAGCATGGCCAGCAGGGTTCGGTTAAGATGAGATCGGGCCTTTTCTTGGGCCGCATTGTCTCGAAGGACCTGTCAACGATGCTAGAGCCAAGCAGAAAGCTAGCAACACTGCCGAGCCCTCATCAAAACGCGGGGTCTTGTAAACGTTTCGGCCTTCGGATTGCGAGTTGGAGGCCTTCTCGGGTAAGGACTTGAACCTCCAGCCCAAAACCTCCCCATACCACGGAATACATCGAATAAGCCGCTTTGGTTGATTTGGGGATTGTAGGTTTTAGGCCCCGCTCGCGAGGTGGACGAAATTGCGGCAGGGACCCCAAGCCGAAGAGTATGCAAAGAAGAGCTTGGATCCTTCGAGCCAGCATAGTCGCGATTTAGTAGAGGGCGTAGGAGTTTCGGGTGTAGATTTAAGTTAAGGTTTCAGGAGTTCGGGATCTGGTGTTCGTGGTCTTTTGACTGTTGCATTCAGAGTTTGGGCATGTTGTGTTTCACACTGTGCGGGAGCCTTGCACAGGCCCGTGCCCCTGGGTGTAGGGCGTGCGTCGTCTTGCAAAACCATCAGTTATCAAAAGCCCTTGGCATGAAACCCCAACCCCGAACCCTAAACGAAAAAGTGCTTCATTGGCGACTGCAAAGTAGTGGTTGGTCGTCGCCTGAACTCGCCGACAGAGAGACCGAGTTGAGAGTCCAAGCCCAAGTGGATTTCGGAATCGACATTGCCCCGGAAGATAAGAAGCCTAATCCAATAATACAGAGGTTTGCAAAACACTATGCCAGCACTGGTTTCCCGGCCTGATATTTCCTATTTATAGACTATGTTGATGTCCTGTATAATACTTGCCAAAAGCCTTACCTCCTTTACCTGCTCAGGCCCCTGCACTAAGCAAAGTCTGCCGTGTGGAGACAGGGAAGCATCAAGATTTCCAGGCTTGGCCATGCTTAGAGGGGAGAAATACTAAACCCTAAACCCAATTGTAGTTGCGGAGAAGCAGACTTTGGTCACAAAGAAATCTCGTTCTTATCAATCAAAGTCATCGATCGTCCGCCATGCAGCCTGCAGAGCCCCTGGCTAGCTAAGCGTCCCTGTAGAGGCTGTTCTATGAAAGAGCTCTCTCACAGGATCCTCTAGCTTGTGTAACTATTCTCTACGGGTCTTGAGACCTGCTGGCTAAGGCGATCATAGCTGCCGCACGCGCTGCGTGAACCTCAGATCTCTAGCTTTATAGATGTGATGAGAGGAAGATCTGCGGCGCGGGTCCGTGAACAGTTCAGGTTTGGGAATGCTTGCTCGTGGCATGCCCCACTTCAACCCCAAACCATACAACTATTCAGAGTTCTTGGTCAGTCTTTGCGCACGGACTGTCATGTGCCCGCGGCAGATCTACCCTGGAATCCCAGTTCGGGGTTTATGAAGTTTATGGGTGAGTTAAGCAGGGTTGCAAGGCTTTATAACTCTATAATCTGGGCTAAGTTTTATCGGGCTCCATGGCTCTATGAAGGTTGATGTACGGGTTTTGGGTTTACGGGGATACTGAAAAGCAGGCCGCATGGCATCGCTTGAAAAGCTTCGACATTGTCGCTGCCCCCTGGCGCAGCCCCAGTTTCAACAGATTGTGCAGTCGGCAACACTTCCGGAAGTGCGTATAGACCCTAAAACCTGATCAACGGCCTCGCCTGGCTTCGCTGAGGTATGAGTCTCAGAGAAGATCGAAGAACCCCCCAATAAAAATAATGTGGCGTTCTTAAATGTAAATCATACGGGCAGAATAAAACCATAGGAATCATAGCAAGTTAATTCAATCTTAGTTGTCTCATTGGTCTTGCCTTCCTAATAGTCATCACCATTGCAATACCAGTTGTCCACATTCAACCAACTTGAACAACCTAAGGAGCTTTGCAGGCACGTGATTTTGATTCAGCATTATGGTTTTTCGCTATTCAAGTTCTTATTATCACTCATTACAGTATGTTTCTGTTATTAATATTGTTGGCTATGGTTATTATTACTGTTGATATTTTGCTTCTGGATGTTACTACTCGATTTTAACTACTCGGTTTATCATGTACTATTTTTATTTGTTTGCCATTAATTTATTTTAACACCCTAAACCAAAAACCCTATTTTTGGCATGATTATAATAGAAGCCTCTGAGGCTGTGGATCGGCCCGCTGGAGTGTCGACAGGGAACATGTCGGGCCCTGACCCGCTCACTTTGTTTAGGGTTCAGTGTTACGGGGTTTATCTTAAGCTACCACAATAGGGTGTGGGGGTTGAGGAAGTTCATGCATGTTACGTGTTACCATACTCATGAGGATCTATGATAACTACTATGGTTCCCTTCTCATGGTAACTTAAACTAAGTTCCTGAGCCAGAACCCAGTTCATTGTGTTGGGGATGAAAACGGGGATGGCCTTGCTCGTGGTAACGACGACGAGGATGACACGGATGATGCGCATTCTGATGATTTGTGCGTTCAGCTGCTTTGGCATAAGAACTCTGAGAAGATAACTGGGTTTGGCGCTTTTACCAGGTGGGGTATACCCGGAGACTCGTGCGCTGATCGAAGTTTGAGGCCTCAATGTAATCCCAGCACAGTGGACTGCCCACATGGAACCGTCGAAGGGCACCCTGAAATTACAGAAGTCCCGAACTCCATGTCAAGGCGAATTTCTCGAGTTGCGACCCTTAGTTCCATATATTCCTCCGGCTCGTCCGGCGAAGAGGCTAAGCTTGTCCGCTGCTAACTTCATGATTTCTTAACAACGTTTCAACACTGTTTCAAGAGGTCATCGGTGTTACTGCCATAACCGTTGGCACCTCTTCGCTTGCCCTTGTTTAAACCTCCTGTGGTTTCGTCGCCTTCAGGCTCTTATCTTGGTAGTTGCGGTATCAGCAGCAGTCGACGATGACTAATGCTGGCGCGACCGCCACCGCTACTGCTACGAGTGCTACTACTACGACTACTACTGCTACGACTTCTACTGCTACTATACTACTACTACTACTACTACTACCACCACCACTACCTGCTAAATACTAACAATTACTGACTGCTAGCTACTTGCTTACCTTCTTACTTGCTTGCAACTAGCTAGTTGACTAAGTAACGAACTGACTAACTAGCCAATCAGCGAGCGGGTTGGCTAGCTAACTACTGCTGCTATTACTACCACCACCACTACTACTACTACTACTGCTACTGCTACTGCGATTACTATTATTATTATTATTGCTACTACTGCTGCTACTACTAC